TGCTATGTATATTAAAAACGACATAATAAATTCTTTGCAAGTTTGATATTTATTTTAGATTAAAATTGATCAAACAAACGCTCTTATGCAACCCCAATGTCATTTACGTTAAGTGTGTTGCTAACAATTTTTTACACATTTGACGTTAAAATTTTTAAATAATTCAAAATCTTATTTTTTCATATAAATAAAAAAGAAACGTCTTAATTTTATGTATAGATAATAACAAGTAATAATTTGTGAGGTAATTTTTGAAAAAATACTTAAAGAAAAAAATGCATTGGAATAATTGATTTTCACATATTGGTAATACAGTTTCCACTAAAAAAAATACTAAATAGTTAAGAGAGAAGTAAGGTTATGAAGTTTCGTTTTTGGCAGTTCGTGTTTAGGTAAATTTTTACGAGTTATCGTATCATGAATTTATTGTGGAAAAACTGAAAGTTGTGCGTGAGTTCGGTTATTTAGGTGTTAAAAACAAGATGAAAGCGAAACCCTCGAAGGGTGTAGCAAGAATGGTAATTCGATGGGTTATTCGTTCTCGAAAATCAATTGCCAAGGATGCCGTTGTTACAGTAAGTTACATGTTTGACATTTTGCAATTTTAAAGATAAATCTAAAAGATATTATTTAATTAAAATCGTTTTTATGCAATTGTTTGCATGATCAATGTGTAATATGATGCTATTGTGTAAGACATGTAACTTGAACCTTGGTACTATTATTTAAAATCTCTCCATGTCATTGTTACAATTTAAAAAAAAATTTACAAGAACAAAGCCTGTAACTAATTTACTTAAAATAGAATATTTGAAATATTTATTACTTACAAATTGCAAGCCCTTATTATTATTGTATATTTAATGGTGGTTATTATGTCTTCACTTTTGTTGGTGCTTTAGAGAAATAATTAAAAATAATAGCAACGCTTTACATCAGTGTAATACTGAGATCAATTTAAACCCCATAGTTTTAATAATAAAACAGAATAAATATTTAAAAATGTTGAAAAAATAACTTATAATATTGTTAAGCTTGCTATGCCAGTAGTATACAGGTAAGGCGAAAAGTTAACAGAATATAGAAATTTCTTTATCCTCTTTTTTATGTCGCAAAAGCGAAAATGCATAATTTAATGAACGTATGGAATATAGTTTTTCAATCTCGTCTATCTGAAAATATCATCAGCTTCTTTGAAAAATGTCCTCAATTATCCGAACTCCTAACATTTTTTGAACAAGCATTAACACCTCTCAAAGCTTTAAATTGCATTTATTAAAATGAATGTATATTCTAATGACTATTAATTATATGAAAAGATAGCTGAAGGTATTTGAACAATTTTTTTTATAATAGAATATTCCTATGTATAGTTTTCAACCCGCCACCGGTGTATATAAACAATACTATTGTATAAATTGTATAAAGAATTCGTTGTGATTTTTTTAATTTAATTGGGATTAAATTGCACTAGATAATTGTTTTCGCTTTAAAGCATTACTTGATAGGAATTTAAAAGATATAGATATGTAGTAAGTATACAGTTAAAGCAAACAAAAAATGAGAACTTTTTAACTATTCAGCAAAAACGTAATATTTTTTGAAAACATCATTCCTATTTCATCTTAAAAAAACACAAGTTTGTAAAATACCTCTACGTGATTTGTTTAAAATTTATTTTTTAAGTCTAAATAGGTATAAAACTGAATAAAAACTGCAATAATTAAAACATCAGCTACTTGAACATCATTTGTTTTGTCATGATGAATAATTAACGACAAACATAAGAAGATACTGGATGGCATATTTAAAGATAATTTTATGTTTTCTATTATGTGCAATTAATGATTAAAAAATTTTGTTTCGATTAAAAAAAAACACTTCCATATGTTTCTTTTCGTTTTTTTCTTATTATGTTATCATGTGCAGAGGTAGATCTCTTTGTTAAAAGTAAAACAAAAGAAGTCACAGCACATTATTATACGTAATCTTTTTTTGTAACAGAGTAAAAGGAATAATTAATTATCAACTTTATATACCGGTAATACATATTATTGTAGCAGGTACGTTCGTATATATGTGTGTCAGAGGGCTTGTGAAGTATACTATTTGTACTGCAAACATCTCATGCAGTGAGTGATACGAGTCTTATCTGTTTTATCTGTCTTTTTAAATAAATGTTTGTGGGTGTTGCGTTTTGTCATTACATTAAAGTTTTTACCGTTTGTGTATGTGTGTGCATTGAAAATGATAATAAAGTTAAAAAGAACGCGTACTCACCGTGTTATTTTGGTTTCGTTAATGAGCAGACGCGTTTGTGACGATTAATTAAGCATTGTAATTGTTCATATTGTTTTTTTTTGTACATAACAAATTAATTTTTAATAAGACTTAATGACGACCGACGATATTTATAACTCATTTTCGCGCCCAGGATGCGCCGGTTTTTTGGCAAATTATTTGCCAGTGTCGCAAAATAACGTCGATTAACAAGTGTGTGCTACTGTATATTGTTTTTTTTTGCTTGTTTTATAATTATGAGACAATGACAAATTAATGAAAGTATTTGTACTACTAACTGATGGTAAACGGTGCAAATGTATTCCCAATTCAATTGTAATGTGCATGATTCTTTGTTATTATCTGTTCAAAAAATACTTATGGAACTACCGCAAAGCGAAAAGATTTTATCAGTCCCTAATGATGGTGAGTGATATTGATTTTAATTACGAAACAATAATTGCTATTTTTTATGAATAAAGATTTTAATTTTTCATTCACCGTCGTGTAAATGAATACATTGTAACGCGATCACCCCTGTATCGCAGGTAAGCACTGAATTTATTATTTCATAAACGAATCGATGATAAATCGATCGATACTTGATGGATGGTCTGTCTAATAAGTTATCACTAATGCCTCATTAATACTAACAACTGATAAAGATATTAAATAAATTGATAAGGGAGATAAAATCGGCCAATAAATAGCACTTAAAAATGAGTAATTAAATTAGGTATAAATTCATTAGAATCGTTATTAGGTATGACAAATTCTATGGATGTAGATAAAATATTTTTAGGTAAAAGTTCATTTCTTTATAAATTATTTGTGGGTAATAGTTAATTTTTTTTTCTAAATTACAAATTGACTGTTGCTCGAAATTAATGAATAAGAACATTCGGATTTACATCAATTACTTGCAAATCACTTTTAATTTTAAATAAATTGCATAATTGATTAAAATTAACTATTATTTCTGGTTTATTGCCAGAGCATTACGAAAATTATTTTTAATAATTCATTTAGGGAGCACCCTGTATATTCAAATGTGTAGTATTATTTTTAACGTCAAAGTAAAATAAATAGGCCAATAGGTCACCCTGCGTATATGTAAGCCTCTTTAAAAATTGCGATAACATCAAATTGATTTTAAAAACAATGTTTATTGTTCTATGGTATCAATGGTGATAGCACATTTAAAATTTCTTGTCACCCATTAATTACACCACTTATTCTACGCTATAATTTCGGTGTTTTCATAATTTGCAATTAAACATTGCAGCTGTTTTATATATTTTTTATGTTTCATTGTAATAACAATCAAAATTCGAAAAGTTGACCAAATTATTGATTTTCAATATCGGCATATTGATAACAAATGCCCACATGATTCATTTTTTTTTTTTGTTATAGGTATTTAATTGTCTTCAGTATCTAAACAATGGGTTTTGTATTAATTTTTACATACTGTATTATGTTACAATGCAGAAAAATTAAAAATTGATAATCAATTGTTTTACTCCATCTCGCATTAAAATGTACAGGGTGATTTAATTTGAATTGAATTAAATTGAATTAATTTTTATGCATCAAGAATATAGAGGGTGTATGTTGGGTTGCATATTTTAGTACTTCAGGGACTTATTTTTTCTAAAAATTAAAAAAAAGTTTCCAAGTGAGAAACGCGTTTTACAATTTTTAAATTTTGATATTTTAGTTAATTTTTGTTGTTACGTTTGGTATAATCATAGTATTCTTGTATTTTTTTGGCGGTTTTTTATACCTGTAATGATACATAAAATAAACAAATAGGTAAATGATTTGTCAAAACATTCATAACTGTTATTATCAATAGGTAAATACTGTAATATTCATACAAAGCTGTAAAGTTTCGTAATGTTTGTAATTCATGGATTTACCTTTTTATTGTATTATTTTTTGGCTATTTCGTCTACCAAGTGAAAGTTAACTTTCATTCTTTCAAAACTGATAAATTTTGGTTGCTTGTGCCTAACAGTAGGACATGGCAGTGTATAAAATGTCCTTTTCTATTTTTATAAGTAAAATAATTCAATTATCATTTGCATTAAGATTAAAAAAAATGTTTAATTGATTTATATTGTAAAAATGTAAAAAAAAAAAAACCAAACAATGACGTTGTTATAAGAATAAGGTTTCATAATAAAATAAATACATGTGCATTGTATTAAAATTCTGACGAAAGAAATTAATACATATTAATAAATATACACCTACATAAGTACATATACAGAATTATATTTTTATCACTTTTTATGCAAAGTATTCTACTCAATCTCAACAAGATGTCAGCAGAGATCTGTTTTTAAGGTCAAACTTCAATTGCAGACATACGTATGAGCGACTTTCTCTTAAATGGAAAATTCCAATTTTTTGTCTGTATTTTTGCATTTGCAGTGCTAAACGTTGACTATTAGAACGCACAAGTATTTTGTAATAAACGTGCTCAGACCTTCTTATTAAAAACGAAGTACGATTTGCATCAACATATTTGTGTATAATGGATCGATTTACTTACATTAGGTTTGCCCTATCCTAGACCAAGTTTAAGTTCATGACCTACTTTGAAAATTGCCCAAAATCACGCGAGGGTTAGGGACACTATCACATGCATGCAAACATACATTAAAATATATTCGAGTTCCTTGTTATTAGACCTTTTAAACGATACCCGACATGATATATAAAAAAAATGTTTTTGAATATGATTTTGAATGAATATGAAAGGAACGCAAGGAAGTAGAGAAGATAATATGGTCTAAAACGGCCCTTGAACTTAAATCAAAACAAAAAATATCTTGCATTATCCTGTTACATTTTTACTACAGTTTCGGTGTGTAACAAGACTAAATCGGGATTCCCCGAAATCGGTCTACACTGCGCAAAAATTCGTAAAGCATTCTTTTGATCGTTCTTGCATGCTGTTAATGTCACAACATATTCGATCTAGTCTTGTACATACTTTCTGCAAGTACCTGTATCAAGTTTGTCGCATTTTACCTTCTATCTGTAATACCTCCAGTCGCATTTACGTTAGTGCCATTTTGGCCTTCGTCCAGGCAAATTAAACGTTAAGAGCCTGCGATGACAAATGAACGTCAGTTTCGCGTTGTTTGGCATCGTCATTCGGTCATCGGTTTTGTATCAATTGACGTAACAAAAGCTGATCGTAAAAAAATGAATTATTTCCGAGCATACGAAATAATTATGTAAATACTAAGCAGTAATAGCTATAATTCAGATCCCTTAAAAAACAGGTGTCAAATTATATATTATTAAAAAGCGGCTTCATGGTTTAAAATTTAAAATAAAAGGGGACATGCATGGTGACCTTTTTATCAGGGAATTATGGGTAGGTTCAGCTAAACTGGCTTTAAGTACAAAATTTGGGCACTATACTTAGGTACTTTTAAAGATCACATATCTGGCCCTTTAAAAAATCGATACCTCATATGACCAATTAAAAACTTTTTTCGATTTCTGATTTCGCATAGAGTTAGTTGAAAAATATTTGTGTAATTATAGTTTTTTCTTAGTTTATTTTTTTTTTTATTCTAGACCTCTGGAATAGGCATGCCCTCCCTATACCACGCGTTGGTTGTCATATTCCTGGAGTTCTTCGCGTGGGGTCTTTTAACAATGCCAGTTATACAAGTATTAAACACAACATTTCCGGATCATACCTTTCTTATGAACGGTCTTATAATGGGTATAAAGGGCTTGCTGTCGTTCCTCAGCGCACCCCTCGTGGGCGCCCTAAGCGACGTCTGCGGGCGAAAGCTTTTTCTCCTAATCACCGTGTTTTTCACGTGCCTGCCCATACCTTTAATGACCATCAACACATTCTGGTGAGTTTTATTATCAATTAAAAACGTTTATACCAAAAAATATACCCAACAGGTACGGTTTGCAGCGAAAAACATGAAACTAATTTTTCATTGATTTCAATAAGTCTTTTTCTTCTTTTTTTAGTGAATGTGTACAGTTTACAGTCAAAATTCTGAGGCATTTTTTTTATAGATGCCAAAATTAAATTTTCTGATTTCCATTTAAGAAAATTGTACAGTTCGCAGCATAAAAACTGAGGCATTTTTTGTACAGGACCGGCTTCAAATAAGTCCCGCATAAATATAACTTAATATACAACATTTTTAATCGTTCTTTAGTAAAATACTGTATCTGTTTGACAGGTTTTTCGCGATGATCTCGATATCGGGCGTGTTTGCCGTAACATTCAGCGTAGTTTTCGCATACGTAGCTGACGTCACCGACGAAAAAGAACGTTCATTGGCTTACGGTCTCGTCAGCGGAACTTTCGCTGCTAGCATGGTCATTTCTCCTGCCCTGGGTGCTTATATGATGGACAGGTCAGTATTCATTTATTCGATTGTGTATTAAACCAATGTCGTCTTTCGAAATTCATTGAAAATATGTTGAAAAGATGTTGTCTTGTGCGATTTATTGTATCTTAAATATAGCAGTTATATTAATGAGACGGTTCACGTAGTACATAATTGAGTGCCAGAAAAAAAATAGGTGGAAAAACTTATATATTTTTCCTTTTCAGATGGTCCATAACTTTGGTGGTAGCATTGGCTACATCTGTTGCGATTTTAGATGTTTTCTTTATAATAGTAGCCGTCCCAGAAAGTCTTCCCGAAAAGGTATAACTCACAGATCCGCTTCATTCTTTTACTTCTTTCGCCATCACTTTTGATGTAAAACTTTAATTCTTACTAAAAGTAATTGTTGTCTTTTAATTTGTAGGTTCGCGTGTCCCCGATTAGCTGGGAGCAAGCAGATCCTTTCGCTTCCTTGCGTAATGTCGGCAAGGATCCTACAATTCTGTTGTTGTGTATTGCCGTATTCTTGTCTTATTTGCCCGAAGCTGGCCAGTACAGCTGCATTTTTGTCTATTTGAAACTCGTCATGGGATGGAGTGCCCCCATGGTAGCTGTCTTTGTAGGACTCGTAGGTCTTATGGCAGTAATGGCCCAACTCAGTTTAGGTAAAGAAAAAAAGGTTAAATGAAACTGATAATTTACTCTACAGCTATATAAAAATTAATATTTTTTTACGGTTCTGGTGCTATTAATGTTTTAATTATTACTTTAGGCTAGGTCAGTATTTCGTCATGTGGATCGTGTTTTTTTTAAGGTTTAAAAATGGAATTGTTACAAGGAAATACTTAAAATAGAATAACTTCATTGATAAAATAATTCGACTAGTAGCTCATAATTTAACTACTTAAAATTTATCTAGACAAGTTTGTAAAGATAAATAATGTAATTGAAATAAATGGAGTCACTGTTGTACAAGTTAAAAGTGAAATTGGAGTTGTTGAATTGCCGTTATCTTTTTTTTATCAATGTATACAGAATACTTATATGTGGTCTCGAATGATAATAATTAAATCTTATTACTCTTTTAAATTGAATTATTTATAATAATGTGAGTCATGTAGATAATTGCTACTGCAAGAAAATATTTTTTTATTTTGAAATTATATTGAAGCTGGTAGAGAAAACATATTAGCAGATACCAATCGGGTCGTTTAAAATTAATTTTAATATGTATATAAGAGCTCTTCCGTTTTCTTTTTTTGTAAATTTTTAATGATTCAGGTTCAATTTGTTTCATGTTGTTTTTAGGAATGTTAATGAAAAATTTGGGCAGTAAGCATACAATTATGCTAGGTCTTTTGTTCGAGATGCTTCAGCTTTTATGGTACGGTTTTGGTACCACAACATGGATGATGTGGGCGGCTGGAATTCTTGCCTCCATGTCCTCCATTACTTATCCTTCAATATCAGCTTTTATTTCCATCATTAGCACACGAGATAAACAAGGAGTTGTACAAGGTACACCTTTTTTTTTTGTTAGAATCCTCTTTTTTGCTCAATTTTTATGTTTTTTTTGCCCTTTCCGGTAGAAATTTTTAATACCATTCCATCTCATATTTTTCAAAGATTCTTTTGTATTTCTTTTAAAATTGTTTATCCCACGTTTTTAAGGAATGGTTACTGGAATGCGAGGTCTCTGTAATGGCCTAGGTCCTGCAATGTTCGGAATTATATTCTACATGTTCCATGTTGATCTCAATGACGAGCATAATAATGAATCGACGCACAGCACAGACGCTCAAGATGATATTTATTCTCAGGTAATAGTTAATCAATTTAAAATTTAATTTCCCTCGTTTGCTTTTTTGTCTTGTACGCATTTAATGAGACACTTGTTTAATTAAATTGCAGTTTGTACCTGGACCACCTTTCGTGTTTGGTGCATTTTTGGTTGTGTGTGCCCTTTTGGTGGCCTCGTTCATACCAACCAAGCAAAGCGTCGAAACTGGTAACAACTATTTTTTATTATCTACCTTTTAACATCAACTAATTATGTATTATTAGTTACTATTTTATTCACTGGGTTCAAATGTGAACCCTTCCTAGCAATTCTTTACATTTTTCTTTCTTTCTCATTCAGGTATTCCCCTGGACAGCATGTACGAGATTGAGCACGGTCAAAAAGTGGCGGGCACCCTCAGTCCCCTGATACCCCACAGTCGATCCCTTGACGGCAGTACGGCCATCTTGTAAATTGTGAACAGCTTTAAAAGAAAAGCGCGCGCGTGACCGACGTTTTTACCCCTGTAGAGTCGACCATCCTCTCCTTTTATTGTCTGCTGTCTATCTTCTTCCCAGCATCCCTCTTAATGTCCCGATATCGCCCACCCGCGCATACTTATATATAATACTATATATTTATATGCAGTTAAGTAATTTAACTGATTATGTATTAGTTGACTCGTATTTTGTAACTGTGATGAATATTTTTTTAATAGGTTGAGTAATCGATTGACGGAAGTGGCGGTGCCGCATTTTTTGCGGACGTGGAATACAGGTGACCAAAAAATTGTACCGAATAGAATATATTATAATTTTATGATGTTATTGTATAAGATTAGAGAGAAAAAAAAATTCGGTGCAAGGTTTTCGCCACTAGTGTCCTTTTTTCCTACCGACGACTACACGAATCAATAATAATAGTATAATACGATAACAATAACGTTAATACACATGTGTAAACATAATGAATTCCGTAAGAGCTAAAATGGCACAACCGAATGGAAAAATAGGTTTTCTTCTGATTCAAAAAGATTCTACTTTCACGTAATCGTACTTTTTTAATTATCAAAAATATAATTTTTAATTAAGTAGCACTTCATGGTTTAAA